TAAAGAGAAACTACTTGGATACAAAACAAAAATATTATATTTACAATGACATTATATTATAATTTACGATATAATATGTTATTTTATAATTAATTCTTTTATTTAAAATTTCACTTATAATATTTTATATATCTATTTATTTAATGTAATGTCATATTTATTCAATATCACATAAAATTATAAATTTATAATTTTACATGACATTATAATTATAATGTTGTATATAAAACTTAGAGCAAAATTTAAAGTAACATTTCATTCCAACAGAGATTACACTAATCGACTATGTGCCTCTCAGTTATTGAAAGCATATTTCGAAAAATAAAGAGAAAACAAATTCAAAACAGATGACAAAAAAAAGAAAAAAAAAAAGAAAAAAAAAAAAAGAAGACAAATTCAAAAGGAAAAAAACAAAATGAGAAATTAATTTCACTCAAGGGATATCCCTTACCGCAGTTCCTAAAATGGTGAAAGGGGGATCGTTTTATCCTTTTTTTTTTCTTTTGAATTTTGAATAAGAAATGATAGACAAGGAAGTAAACACCAAGGTCTAATGAGCTTCTCACTTGGCACTGACAAGTTGGGCGCGGAGCAACTTAGCGGCAGCAACCATGTTCTTGAGTGCTGGCTTCACCTCAGCGTACTTGCGGGTCTTGAGTCCACAGTCAGGATTAACCCACAAGATGTTGAACTCAAGAACAGCAAGCATCTTGTTGATTCTGTCAGCAATCTCCTCAGTCGATGGTATTCTTGGAGAGTGGATATCGTAGACACCTGGGCCAATTCCAGCACCGTACTTGACTCCCTCACGGAAAACTGAGAGGAGCTTCTCGTCAGAACGAGAGTTCTCAATAGTAATCACATCAGCATCCATATCAATGATGGAGTGGATGATGTCATTGAAGTTGGAATAGCACATGTGGGTGTGGATCTGCGAGGAGTACGGAGATGAGCACAAGGAATAAAACTGTACTGACAAGAGGAGTTTACAGCCCTATTAATATGAATGAAATTGTAGCAGAGACGAACCTGGGTGGTATCCTGGACACCACAGTTGGTGATCCTGAAGGAGTGCACAGCCCAGTCCAAGTAGAAGGCTTGCTCAGACTTCCTAAGCGGCAATCCTTCTCTCAGAGCAGCCTCATCAATTTGGATGACATTGATACCTGCCTTCTCAAGATCCTCCACTTCATCCTTGATGGCCAAAGCAATTTGGTAGCAGGTCTCGTGTCTGGAAAATTGGGAAAAACAGAATGTTAAAAGGGATGGTTTCCAGATGCTGAAGAAACAGAAACTGTTGTCTTTTCATCTCTTTTCATTGGTTTTGTTCCAGCATACCTGGGTTGGTCGTTTCTGACAAAAGACCAGTTCAAGATGGTGACAGGACCAGTAAGCATTCCCTTCATTGGGCGGGCAGTCATGCTTTGAGCCATAGAAGACCAGAAGACAGTCATTGGCTTGGGGCGGCTGACATCACCATAGATAATTGGTGGCTTAACGCAGCGAGATCCATAAGATTGTACCCAACCATTAACAGTGAAGGCAAAACCAGACAACTGTTCACCAAAGTACTCAACCATATCGTTTCTCTGCA